GGCTGTTTGAGTAAAATGGAAAAAGTTATCAATTTCAAATCTTTTCATGTCTACCCACTTCTTAAAATAATGACCCACATTCATATTTATGATGGTCATTGCAATATTTTCTTAAAGTTGTTAAGCTCAAATATTTGACATGATAGGAGAATTTCTACAAATATTTTATTGTAGTAGAACTCACCATTAGCATATTCAATCATTAATTTAAGAATCATTAGTTAAGAATTAAGATTCATCATAAAATTTAAATAGAAAAACTGTGAAATTTTCATGGCCCTTTTTAGTTTATATTATTAAGTATGAAAGTAATCTTATGTTGACATCAAGTGAGAAAATACTCAGCAAACATTCCAAACATATTTAAAGCATTAAAACCTTTTCAAGATTGGAATTTAGCTTGTGAGTTAACGCCACATGTTTCACCAAGAAGTTGTTAAATGGCACTATCAAACAACTATAAAAATGGGACACTTCCTCTCATCTTTCTCTTGTCTCTCTTTTCCTTCTTGCATATAGTAGAAGTAATAATACCAACCAGGCATGGAAATATCTTTCACCTTAATGATCAAACTTTCACGCACAAACACCCAAATTTATGTCTATCACCCACATAATAGCTAATTTTTAATGTCTTCTTTCATATTAGTGTATTTTATAATTTTTATGTAGTTATATATATATATATATATATATATATATAGGTGTAACAGCAAAATTGTCCAAATCATGTAACAGCAAAATTGCCCAAATCATGTAACAGCAAAATTGTCCAATTGTTAGATTAAGCTTTGAACCATTTTATCTTAGAAATGATTAAAGATACCTTAATGGAATTCTCTAAGGTTTTTATAACATTATTGGACTCTACTTTTAACAATAAGAATGTATTTAGCTCTAAGTTGAAATGATGATCCATCTTGCTCTTGCGAACTTCTGACTCAGTTTTCCTTTCTACAGTTCCTCTCTTTTTTAAACTTATTTACCATTTTCTTGATGGTTCATGAAACCAGAGTATGAATATTGTTTAGGAGAGGTGGATTCATATCTTTCCCAAGAGTATTTATGCATAAGTGAATGTAATGAAAATTCAGCTGATATCCTATTTTTTTCTCTTAGCTTTTTAGTCATATATATATATATATATATATATATATATATATATATATATATATATATATATATATATATATATATATATAGTTGATAATCAAACAAATCCTTTTTGCCTCATAAGGGGAATATACACATTAGAAAGCCTGACAATTCAGATAATAAAGAAAAGGAATCTGTGGAGAGCCATGATTGTCTATGTTCCAAAGGAACATTGTATTAATAGAAAAAAAGAATTTTTAAGGAATTATTCTTGTACATATTTGCTAAATGCCAAAAGCAGCAGCTTGAAGAGGTTAACTCATAGTGCATTACTTGCCATCAGGAAAAGAATCATGTTGTATAAACATGGATCTTTTATGCATATATTTTTCTTTCTCTGTTTCTTTTTTCTTCTCTACAATCTTCATGACTTCATCGTCAGTGAACTGATTTGGATTAACTTCCTCTCAGGCTGAGAATTTCTGTTTTAAACTCATTTGCAGTATCAATTTCATATTACATGGAAAGGTTTTGAAAATAGCTCAAGTATTTTGAAACAGCTCTCTTACCTAAATGCTTAGCCCACTTTTAGTTGAAGCCTAACGTTTATTCACTTGCGAGACACAAAACTGCTTCTCAAATTTTAGTTTTCCATCAGATCAACCAATTATAGTGTTGTGTTGGCAATTCTGATCACACTGTAGTATCTATTGAAATTTCTTTTGAGTTGTCTATTAGAAAAGAACCCCCTATTCACAAAACTTCTTTCTGTTACTGGTGTACTGATAGGGATTCATTTTGGAACTTTATTCAAGCATTAAAAAAAATTGGCAGTTAATGGGTTAAGAAGATCTCTTAAGTTTGGATGGAGTTTTATTATTTTATCAGCTTCCATTTGGGATAATGACTGATGTACGATTTAAATTCCGATCCTCTTTGTGAGGTCAAATTTATATATATGGGAGATGAGGATATATAAATGTTTAAATATCAGAACAATATTAGGAAAATTAATGATAAAGTGAAATTTTTTGTGTGTGACACATTTCGTCATTTAGGACTTCATTGGACTAATTATTTTTAAGCTTCCTATTGAAAATTGTGCAACAGAGATTTCTTCTTGGGTTAAAGCCAACATTGATAGTTTTGTAACTTCTTGCAAATACTATGTGAAAGCACAATCTTCTCCATGGTTCAAACTGGCCTGTTCAGCCCAAAGGAATCACTTTTTCTAGGTCTACCAGCGTCATAGTTCTGATCAAAACAAATGCCTAATTGTGTCTGCTTGCAATAATTGTAAATATATCCTCAAAGAGGCTAAGTCTTTGTTTGCTGATAGAATGAGTCACCGCATAACCTCTAACAAGTTTGAATCATGTGGCTACTGGCAGCTCTGTAATAATTTGTTCAATAATTTTTCTTGTCTAAATCTATCTTAGATATTTATAAGCCTGCCATTCATCCTTGCTTTGAATATTGCTGCCACATCTGGTTTGGTCTGATCCGGTCTGGTGCTCCTGCCTATATATTAAGAGATTCTTAATAAAATCCAAAGAAGAATCTGCAACATTATTGGTCCTGAACTGACATCTCAGCTTCAGTCACTTTCTCATTGCTGCAATGTAGCTTCCCTGTGCCTTTTCTATAAATAGTTTCATGATAAATGTTCTGAAGAACTCTCCTCTATGGTACCTAGACTTTATGAATTTAAGTATAGTACTAGATTGGTGGCAAGGACTCATGATTTTATAGTTGAAATGACTAGCTGTAACTGTAAGTTCTATGTTAACAGTTTCTTCTATCGCACTTCTTGCTTGTGGAACTCTCTTCCAGCTTCTTGTTTTCCAGTCAACTTTGACTTTCAAAAATTTAAATGCAATGTGAATCATTATATTCTATATTCTATCTTCTTAATTCTTGTTCTTTTATTGTTCTCTCTCCTTAATAGTATGTTGTTTTTTCATATTCTCTTACACTCAATAACTCCTGTGTCTTAGTGGCTTTATTGTTTTGTTTGGGGTGAAATGACTAAAAAAACTCCACAATCCGTTCATGAGCTCCATAATATGTGCTTCACCAGAGCTACATACAGTTTTTAGTTCATAGTTGTTGTTCTCCTAGACTGGTTACCAACCAAAGCTGAAGAACACACTGTATCCTACTATTTTAAGTTATAGCTTTGGAGAGAAGTGATAGATTCATACCTTACCAATGGTGGACGGACAGTTGCATACTGGACATTTGCGTCCTGGACAATTACATACCAGACAATTGCGTCCATGGACATTTGCATTCCTAGACAAATGCGTCTCTAGATAATTGCGTACCTCTGATAAATTTTTGAAGTTACCATTTTTTTTTTTAAAGAGTTGTTTAATATAGAAATTTGTACACCAATAGATTTAATTACTCTAAACAAGCAGAAAGGTAGTTACCATTAAAAAAAAGAGAGAGAAAACAGTTTCTTTTTTAAAGCAAGAGAAAATTAAGCTAGCAGTTTCAGTTCACTTCAGCAGTGCATACCACAAACATCTAATAGATTCTGGATTTTATAAATTTATTTGAAACCCATGGCTAAGTTCTGAAAATCAGACACTGGTGGAAAAATATTTGAGGATGAGGAAAATTACAGCTCGCACTATCATAAGAAAAATGCCGATGAAACAAAAATGTACTTGTGATGTGTCAAGCAATTTTTCAACACTGTTAATTTTAAGCAAAAATAAACTTTTAATTTTTTTTAATTTTATTCCTTTTTTAAAAATTTATTATTACTACCAATGTTTTTTTCAAAATTTATGAAAATTGCCTTTAAAAGCTTCAAAAAATTATTAGAGGTATGCAATTATCCAGGGATGCATTTGTCTAGGGATGCAAATGTCCAGGGATGCAATTGTGTGCTATGTAATTGTCTGGTATGTAATTTTCCGGGACACAAATGTCCAGTACACAACTATCCTAGAACCTAGGAGAAACTTACCAAATGACTCAACAAGCATTTTTTTGTCTGTTCCCCTTAACAGAACATGTTTTAATGAAGGATTGGTGTCTAAATATATTATGTTTAAATTTTTTGGCATCATGGTGGAGTATTGGATAGCAGCTAAGGTTGAGGAATTGGGGAGCTGAGTTTGAATTCTAGTTGGGTTTGTGACATTCACTTACATGCAAATATCATTGGGAAAGGCATGAATCCAGTTCTTCTCCCTGCCCAGCTATGTGTAAATAGCAAACTGGATCCTATAGTCTTGGGTGGTAACTGGTCTAGAAGGACAACTCTGAATTCAAAATCTTTAACTATGGGTTAAATAGCCTCACCAACCCACAATTGGCCAAGTGTGGTGAGTACAGATACACCCCTAGAGACAAGGAGTAAAAAGGCCCTGGATCTGGATCTGGATCTGGGAGCTTTCATCCCTGGTATCTTTTTTAAAAATTTTATGGTTTTGCAGCACACAAAGGCAATACCACTATACAATTTCAACATAACCTTGGCAACACAAAAAGTCAACCATACCAACACTGACATTATACATATCATCAAACTGACAAAATTAAAGTCTGCAAAAAGTGGAATTGGCAATCCAAGTTCAAACTCTGGGTTTGTCAGTTGCATTCACTTTTTCAAGACTGATTTTGGGGAAAGCATGAATCCATCTCTTCTCTCCCCAGCTATGGGTTAAACAACAGGGTAGACTGGAGTTGGGTGGCAAATAATCTGAGAGAAGGTAATTTCATATTTCTTAATACTTTGCTTATTTTCCGAAAGACATCTTTCACCATTGCCATGCACCTCTAGATTTATGCGTCACACTTTACATTGTCTGTTACCCAGCTACTTAAATTTCTGTATCTGCTTGAGTTGACATTCTCAATATATAGCTTACATCTTGGGCTACATCTTTTGCTGAAACACCAGTTCCTGTATGATCACAGAAGTTAAGCAGCATCAAGCTTGGTCGGTACCTAGATGGGTGACTGCTTGGGAATATCAAGTGCAGTAAGCTTGGCTGTATGGTAGAGTAATGGATAATAGCTTAGATTTATTGATTAGAGAGCTGAGTTCCAATTCCAATTGGGTTCGTTATATTCACTTGGAAAAGGTATGAATCTACCTCTTTCTGCCTCAGCTATATTTGCAAGACATGTATCACTAAACCATTATTATATGAAAAATAAAAATTCTTATGATCTAAAAATATTTTCTGGCTTTAAATAACCTGCAAAGTGTTGATAAGCCATAGAAAACAAATCAATCATTCTTTTGCTAGCAACTATGTATTCTCTTTTCTTACAGTTTATAGTTAGTCCATCCTTCTTGCTTTCTTTTACTACCTTGTCTAAGAGGTTCTTACATTTTTCTTTCTGCCATCAACACGTCAACTGTACATCTTCTGTTGTTAAGATTATGTCTGCCAATAATAAATTCTGGTAAGACTTCTACTTCAGTCATTTCAGTTGATTCTGTTTCATTTAAAAATTTCATTCATTAAATATTATTTAGAAAATTACCTGACAATACAATCTGTCAGTATCAAGTCATAAAGTAGACTTGTTAAAGAGAACACCAGTTTTCAAATGCTGCCAACTTTCTGTAGACTTCTGAGGTTACCAGTTTTAATGAGATTTTATTTCTGGAGCTGAGGAGGAAAAAATTAACTAAATGTTCAAATTTATACAAGAAAATCTCCAAGTGAATCATGAATTTCCTACAATGAGGTTGCTCAAATTGAGCCAAGAAATTATCTAGGTAGTTTTTCTCTAAGAACATATTACCAGAGAAAGGCAGTAAATGAAAGAGAATAAAGTTTAAAGTTAGTTTGAGATTACTGTTAGGAATTGTGCTGTGCATATAGAGATAAGGAAATCAGAAAAACTGTGGGGAATAGATCTGAGCTTGTGCATGTATCAGGAAACTTGTTGAGAATTGTAGTGATATGTAAATGACTATCTAATTAGCATAACTATGGCATAGACACAGAACACAAGCCATTATCCATTACACCACCAGTACATCCAAGCTTACAGCACCTGGTATTCCCAAGAGGCCACCCATCTTGGTACTGAGCAGGCTCAAAGTTGCTTAACTTTGGTGATTAGATGAGAACCAGTTTTCAATGTGATATGGCCGTAATTAATATAAGCATCAGCATCTTTTATGCAATTAGTAATAGCACTCACCTGATGTATTTCTATTGCAGTGTCTTGAAATCTTTGTTTGCGTTACATGATGTCTATGTATATTATGCTTGTCCTTTATCCATGGCAGACATAACAAAATGTTTGTTAATGCATTGATCACACTGACTCTGTTTTTCTTTATCATTTGCAGGATGATGATTTTGTCAGCACTGCCGGATTTGATGTCATATGGAAACGAATGAAATGCAGCCACAAAATGGGGAAAGACATTGAAGAATATTTAAAGGCATTGTAAGTTTGTATTACTGTTTGACATGCACTATTATACATACATATATATATATATATATATATATATATATATATATATATATATATATATATATATATCATGATGAAATTGGAGACTTTAGAAACCCATGGTAATATTTTATTTTGCAAGACTGATTAAACAATCTCATCTCATAAGACCAAACAGTTTCACAAATAAATGGATTTTATACATATATATATATATATATATATATATAATATTATTATATTGCTTTGTTATTTACATTGAGCTCTCTTTGGATTAATATCCTCCTTGGAATTATTCCTACCAATTACTAATTGATATTGTTTTTATATATATATATATATATATATATATATATATATATATATATATATATACACCACACATTATGAAATGAACAAAGTCCGACAATTATTTTAAGAAATTTTTTAGTGTTTATACATTCTTTTATAGATACAAATATTTATAAATTCTCTGTTTAAATAATATATTATAAACAGAGAATTTACTTAAATATTTGTATCTATAAAAAGAATGTATAAAAATAAAATATATATATATATATATATATATATATATATATATTACACAACAAAATTCAAAATTACCCCATATGGGTGGGGGGTGAGATCTATTTTAGACAATGTGAAGTATGTCAGTCTTATTCAACCCCTGTGGACACACTGTGTTTGTATTGGAATTAGAAATTTAAAACTTAACTTTGACAGCAGTTGATAAACAGATACAGAACCTACCTATATCAACACCTTAGTCAGGCAAAAAGCCCAAGTCAGTGATAAGGGGAGGGCGTAAAGTATCTGTCTTAAAGGGAAGACGCTCCACAAATTCAACCCGGATATTAACCTTATAACTTTAAATTGGAGTTCTATGAAGAATGAGGTGTAGAATTTAAACTAGAAGAGAGACGAAAAGGAAGTTTTATATATAAAATATTTTTAATTATATATAAAAACAAAGGTTAAGTTTCCACTTCAAAAAATAACAAATTTTACCTACAAATGGGATATATTTACAAGATTAACAGTCAAATGCACTGAGCTTTTTTTGTGGATCCGTTTTAATATTTGATATTATTAGGGTCCACTTAGATTATATACCAATGGATTTATTACCTGTACTATATATATATATACAGCTGAATTTTATCTTTAGACATCAGCAATTGAGCTAATTTTTTTAATATTTTGTATATTATTATATAGTATTAATAATCTGAAAGTTTCAAATAATTACTATGAGTAGAAAATCAGTTATTGTAAAATTATTAAAAAAACTTGAAAAATGATTGGTGCATAATTAAAAGGCCATTAAAAAAATTTTATTACAAAAGTAACAAACACTAAAAATTTATAGAAATCAATAATTAGTTTGTTTTCCGTGATTGACTATTACTTTAAACACTTTATTTTTCATAGAATAAATTAATAGAGTGTTGTTTTGGTTAATTGAATCCCAGGTTTTCAAAATTGCACTTTTAAACTCTTCTTGTTATTAAATTGATGCCCATTCTTGTATACTTGTCTAACCAATATCCCCCAAAAGTTTGTGATAGGATTGAGATTGGGTGATCTGGCGAGCCAATCTATAACATTGATTCGGTTAGCTTGAAACTACTCCATCTTGGATTTGGCTTTGTGAACAGGAGCTTTATCTTGCTGAAACAACCAATTTCAACCACCAATTTTTTCTTTCATAAGGCAAGAGAGCCAGTAGACAACAAATTCTGATAATCCAAAGCATCAAATCTTGTGTCAATGAAAACAATTGGAGTTTTGCCTTTGAATCCGAATGCTGCCCAAATCATAACATTCCCTCCTTGCATGGCATTCACACTTGAAGCTCCAATATGAACATTACAGTGTGTTTGGGTGTTAATCTGAGGACAGTGCAGAAAATTCAGAAAGAGTTAGATGAGTCTAATGGTGATTATGAAGGTACAGCAGTTTGGAAAACTCACTCTGATTGTTCTCGTAAGAAAAGAACTTCAGAATTTGTTGGTGGGAGACCTCAGACTCAACACAGAGGCCTACATCATGCCTTGATGAGGGAGTGCTGCCCTGGGTCAAGAGGGTGGCTGCTCGAAGACTCTATGTCAGGCAACAATACTCTGCACCATGTCACACAAGCAGGAGAACTTAGTCATAGCTGTCAGACAATTTCTGCAACCACATCACCACTGGCCACTTAACTCCACAGACTGCAAACCCTTGATTATTATGTGTTTTAAAAGTATAGTGAGAGACCAACAAAACTCCTTGTAATATCAAAGATGAACTGAAAGTAAGGATTATGGCAGCATTCCCCAAGTTAAGCAAGGAGACCACCCAGAAGAGTTGCAGGAGATTCTGGTGTTGTCTGGAGGCTGTGGTTGAAGCCAATGGTGATTTTATTGAATAAATTTACTCTTTAGTATTTCAAGATATTTTTGTGTAATATATCTGTTAAAATGAAATGTCAGTGTTATTTCCATTTTTGCATAATTTAGATGACAATTTATCCATCGCACTCTGTCGTGTGAATTATTAAAACAATGTAACATCAATAAAAGCAAGATAAAGAAAGAGGCCATCATTTCTAAGAGTTCTTGGGTTGAGAATAACTCTTGGTGTTACAAAATGACCAATAAATTCTCTCAGCCAGATGAAAAAATAATGATAAATAAATTAGGTTAAATTGCATCAACAACCTTCCTGATGTCATCATTTCCCAGCTTGGCATTTATAATGATGAGATAACCATTTACTCCTGTCTTAAGTGTAAGTTGATAAGTCCAATAAAGCAAAACTGACAGCTGATCTCAAAAATTACTTCCAATCAGTTGTTAACCAGGGCAAGAAATAACTTGTAAATTTTAACACCTCCAAAATGAACATTCTATCTTTCAGTTCTTAGACAACCATTTTTAGTTTCCATCAACATGGCTGATATTAACCTCCAGGAGAGAAACTCATTGAACTTTCTCAATCTCACATTTTCCACTGATACAAAGTGGAATGATCATGTTGAATCTGTTGCTAAGTCTGCTGCTTGGAAAGTTTGTTCATTGTGTCATGTCAGACAATTTTTCTCACCAAAATCCATCTTGTATGTTTATAAATCTGTCTGTGCATTGAATATTTTTATGTAATTTTGGCAAATATATCTGTTAAAATGAAATGTCAGTGTTATTTCCATTTTTATATAATTTAGGCGACAATTTATCCATCGCACCCTATAGTGTGAATCATTAAAACAATGTAACATCAATAAAAGCAAGATAAAGAAAGAGGCCATCACTTCTAAGAGTTCCTGGATTGTGAATAACTCTTCTTAATGTTACAAAATGACCATTAAATTCTGTCTACCAGATGAAAAAAAAAAATGATAAATAAATTAGGTTAAATTTCATTGTGGTTGGTGCATAATTCCTTATTCTGCCAGTCTGCTCATAATTTCAAAATTAACTTTTTTTCCTTTCTTTCCCCAGGGCCAAGATTGAAATTGAATATAGCAAGAGCCTGAGTCGTCTTAACAAAATGCTGAGAAAAAGACCTAGGGTAATTATTTTATATATATATATATATATATATATATATATATTTATTATTAGATTGTATGTATGTGTGTGTGTATATATATATTTATATATATATATATATATATAACATATTTATATGTGTGTGTGTAAATAAAGACAAAGGAAAAACTTTTGTACTCTGATGGACTGGTAAACGTCATCAGAGAATGAAAATTGTTGGCTAAGGTAACTTTTCCTTTTGTCTTTATTCATATTTTCTTTTACAGATTTTCATTATATCTGGAATTTTACACATACATAAATACATACATCAAACAGCTTTAGTTAAATAACTTAGACATATCATACCAATTAGTTTTTGCTCTGATCCTTTCAAGTTTGCGGATTAATTTTTTGGTAGACTTAGAAAATTGAGTAAGAAAAATATCAATAAACACATATACATTACTCACAGACAACTTAACCACGTGAAGATGGTCTCAGATGAGATTGAAAGTACTTGGGGAAAATACAAAATAATTGAAAGAAAATTTTGGTATTTTTCTTACTCAATTTTCTAAGTCTACCAAAAAATTCATCCGCGAACTTCAAAGGATCACAACAGAAACTAATCGTTTTATGATATGTCTAAATTATTTAACCAAACCTATTTGAATGAAAATATGCTACCTGAATATACACAATATATATATATGTGTCAATATCTGCTCACTCACTCATGTCTTTCCTCTCCCCCCTCACTTCATTAATTTACATATGTTTAATACGGCCTGACATAAATGTGTAAATTTTCTTTTCATTTTTTGTTTGGAAGTAAAGTCTGATAATCCGCAGTCCTTTTAAAAGGGCTGTGGTGCAATAATTTATTACATGGAACCTTAAAGTGGTCTGTTTTTATTTAAATTATTTGCTCTGAATTTACATTGAGTCTCTCTGGATTTTATCCTCCTTAGGTTTACCCATAATGATTACCTAGTTTTCATAAACTAACTATATATATATATATATATATATATATATATATATATATATATATATATATATATTTATATTGTGTATTTAGATACCAATCTTTCTTTCATGCAAGTTTCATTAAATATGACAGATAAGGTGCTTTAAGTTTTTCATATAATTTTTTATGTGATCTGATAATTTTTCTTTTCAGTAGATAAATTATATAAAAACTGTTAAAATGTTGTTTTTTTTCCAAGTACTTTTGTCTAAACATTTTCACGGTTGAAATATATTAACTGTTAACTAGAAAAAGATTGCTGTATGTATGTATGTATATAATGTTTCATTTTCAAAACAAGGTCAAGATATAGTGTCCATGTTCATAGTTGATATTATTGAGTGTTGTTTTTTGTTTTTATTTTTTTGCTTCCATTACTTTTTATCTTTTTTTTCCATGTAGATGATGCTATTATATTTGTGTTATCAACAAATATGTTACAAATAGGTTCCAGTATGTCTCCATATTATATACATAGCCATGTACATAATATTAGACAGATATTAGCTGATAACACAATAATGCACCTACACACAGTAAAAAGATCCTTCAGATATTGGAGGCCATCTACATTAAAACAAAACAACTTACACTCAACAAAATAACATTTCAAACTAGTCGCAACACATTACATTGCATCTAGACATTGGTTCTGTTGTAATACTTTGGTCTATCGCATGGTATGACGTCATAGAACTGCATCTTGAACTTGTAATCTGTGTCTGCTATTCCATGACTGTTAACATCACATAGCAATTTTCTATGTCAAAATAACAAAATATCATCTTTGACGGTGGATATCTTTGTTTCATGTCTGTATAACCACTCTGAGGATGGATCATGTGAGCCAAGAGCTTAGGACCAACTTAATAAAAAAATCCAAATGTTGGACAATTTTTGTCTTTATTTTCATCAGAAATTAAGGCAAACATTCGAATATTAGAACGGCTCATGATTAGACATAATAGACATTCATTGTCTGTTATATTTAATAATATATGTTTAAATAATGATCTGCTGCCACAATACACTATATATATATATATATATATATATATATATATATATATATATATATATATATATATACACAGAGTTTGTATAAGGTATTTGAATACACATTGAAGATATAAGAAAATCAACTAAATGTATTGATACAAAACCAAAACTTGTTACACAGATGCAGTAATGGTTAGATTACATCTTTCAGGTCTTCAAAAGTCACATGATATTCAAGTATTTTCAGTAAAAGTCAAGGGTATTTTGGTATGGTGAGTTAGGTGACCACATATTTGGTATTATGTGTTCATGCAAATTTTACACCACCAATTTGTGAGCAGGTGCATAGATACACCTGTTGAAAGACATACAACTTTCAAACATATACAAGGTTTATCCATTGTTTTCCTAACTGTTTCTAGCACCTCTCAATGTAGCCAGCTGCATTCTGCAGAAGACTCTGTTGAAAGAAGTGGGTAGCATGACATGGCATGGCATGTCCTTCATTACTCAGCACCTATGGTTCACTTTTTGATCTTGGTTGAAATATTTTTGTCTGAAAAAAAAAAAAAAAATCACTGCTTGCCAGGTCCTTCTAGATGTTTCAACTTGGTCAGTAAACATTTTGCTCAGGGTAAGCATTTTTCTTGTGTGTGTGCCAATGTGAACTACTCTTTCCTCATTATGTATCACTTTAACTGAATATGCACTCCATTGAGGATTGTGCCCTTTGACACCTGGAGATTTCTGGCATTGGCACCCATGGACATTCCAGGATTCACATCAATAATAATGTTTTGTACCTGATGTACTAATTGTGATGTCCTGGTACTGTCCAAATGCCATGAATTCTTTTTGACCCTAGCTGCAGGCAACACATTCCCATTGGAGGATTCCAACTCTTTTCCAAACTTTGACCTGGTGACTTCCAAAAAAGTGCAATCTCAACATCACTGTGCTTTGCATGTATAGCAACAATTACAGATGGTCATTTTATCTCATGTGTTAGCTCAATGTTTCTCAACATTTTTAAGCAATGGCACACCTGGAAGCAAATATAATGGCACACTTAGTAAAATTTTCAAAGGATCTACATTTAATAATATACACCTGGAAGCAAATAATATATCCTGGCACCCTTAGTAAAATTTTCATAGAGTCTTCATTTAAATGTTATGAAATAAAACCATAGATTTTTTAAAAATATTCACACAAATATGAACTTACTTTATTTCAGTGTTTCTATTCAACTATTTTGGCAGCTTATTTAGTGTGAAACTGTGTTTTTTTGCAATTTCTTCAATGTTTGACCAAATATGTAATAAACAGACCCTCATTTTTTTCTTCAGTTGAATGTAGTCTTTCTCACTTCTTATTTTTGATGTTATTTACAGTTGAGAAACCTAATTCACATATGTAAGAATTAGAAAATTGTAAAAAAAACTGATAAAGCCTTTATAGCTAATGTGGGATATTCCTTTTGTATTGAAATCCAAAATGTATCAATGGGTACCATCAAATGTTTTATTTTGAGCTCTTAAAAAATAAAAATACTTTTTAAAAACTGAATATTAAAACAAAGTATTTAAAATAGCATAATCGAAGAATAGTGAAAAGAATTATATGAAAATAGTTTAATAGTTATTAATTTATTGCTGCCACATCTGACCTGGTGCTCCTACTATATATCTTGAGATTCTTGACAAAATTCAAAGGGTCTATAATATAATCAGTCCTGATCTGGCATCTCAACTTCTGTCACTTTAGCTGTACCATTACTACTTCCACACATACATATATATGTATACCATGACAATATTTTAAGAGGATCTTCTTAAGTGCACCGCTGTACAGCAGTCGAGAATCACTATGTTAGCTGATAGTTCACCATTGATGTACATTATTTGACTATCACATAACTGCAGGTGTACAATTACATTTCCTAAAATTGGGAAAATTGATGACAAATATTTTACACTTTGTCATTAATTTGTTCTGATATATAAAAATTATATATCATATTCTCCTATATATATATATGTATATATATATATATATATATATATATATATATATATATATATATATATATATATATATATATAGAAAATCTGTAGTCAGTTGGATCATATCATCAATAAGGAAGTTTTAAGGAAAATGAGAACAAAAAGGCCACTTTGTGCTTAGGAAAAGAAATAGATGAAATTTCTGGAACACATAACAAGGAAGGAAGGCTTAGAGAATTTGATACTCACAGGGCATATAAGAGGGACTGTGAGAAAGAGTGTGCAACTTATCTAATTAGGTTCTATTAATAGGTGGTAGAACATGGATTGGGATGGATAATAAGAAAACAATACTGCTTAGAGCTACAAAGGATAGGAAGTTGTGGAGAGACATGATTGTCCATGCCCAGAATGGACATGTCCTATAAGAGAAAAAGTGTTATAGTTGGATATAAATAAGAAATCCTTCCTTCCTTTCTTTCCCCCCACCAAAAAAAGGTGGAAAATTTATATCTGTTTTGGCTGTACACAAGTAATATTGATGCAATTAAAACATCCATAAAAGTAGTAAAAAAATAAAAAATAATGCACATTAAAAAGCAAACCAGTTTCAAATAGTAAACTCAAAGCTTTATGAAAAGAAAGACTGCCCTTTTTGCTGCAGGACAACACCTACCTGCATGTTACAAAAATGGCATTGCTAAAAACTTATCTCTTGTGGATCACTATTTTCAAGTATTCATAACATTTTCTCACAGATAAGAATTTCTCTAATCAAGGTCAAACTGAAAATGCTTTCAATGTGTTTAGCAGTTCCTTGGATGAAGAATTCTTTAAGAAAGAAATCAATATTTTGCTGCAAAGGACAACTACATGGATAGATGCCAAGGAGAAATTATTTTATTTCAAT